TGTCCATTAATAAAAGGATCATACAGACCCATTTGTGCATTAATAAAAGGATCATACTACCTACAAATGATGAGCAGCTTGCTCAGGGGAAGAACCACGCACTTTTTAAAGGGCACAATACAAAACTTCTTCTCTTCTATCACTTGCACCATTTTTATGCTTTCAAAGCACTTCTCAAATATTAATTAGCTCTAAATAAATTCTAATTATTTCTAAGAGTGGCCCTAGCAGATCTGTATCATCTGGTGTGAAATCTGACTTCAGTGAAGTCAACAGCAACAGCTCCTCAGACCTCAGCAGAGCTGACATTTCCCTTGCCATTGCTAAAATCTGGGAGCTGTGTCTATTATCTGCTGAGTACCACAAGGAGGGCTGAACTAGCAGGAGTAACCAGTGATAAGGGTATGAGACGAGAAGAAAAGAAGGGTTAAATGACCTGAGCCAGTCTGGGGAGCCCAAAAGTGGGAGAAGCTCTGGGAAATGCAACAATCAGAGTCTGTTTGATCTCAGCATCAGCTGAAAAGGAAGGTGCTCTGCTGCTAAAACCAGTTTAAATAGCTGGGATACTGGGTAACTCCTCAAATTTGCTCATGCTGCCAGTCACTAACTTAGTCAACAACTAACCTTGAAACACCAGCCCTTCAGAAAAAGATTTGCACTATTTATCTATCTAAAAATTACCTATTATGTGTATCATAAAATACATATAAAGAGGTTTGCATGAAAAACTCAAAAAACTTCAATTTCAAATAGCACACATTGCATGAATAAGTAAATACAGGGCAAGTAAGTACATAATCAGTATTTACCTTGCTAATTGTGGATTATATAGCCCATCACATACTGCCAACTTTTTTTTTTCCTCATAAGAAAAAGTACTTCAGTTGTAAATAATAATATTAAACATTTTATACATGCAATTTTATCTAGGTATGGAGGTTGAAAATTAACTGGAACCAGAGAATATGAATCTTTTTCTCAAATAGAAATGTAATCCTAATAGAAGTTCCTCCCTTCATCTCTGCCAACTTTACCACCACACAATATGCCATAGAGAAAAAAGGGGAAGTGTCAACTTGTGTAAATTGTCCCTTATGTAATGCAAACCATCTGTTTAAAAAAACAAAACAAAATGAAAACCCAAGCCACTCCCAAGCATGGTCTGCTATGGGGAAAAAGAAAGAAAAGGAAATGTAGTACATCAAATTGGAAGCCAAAGACCATGACCTGCCATGTAACCACGGAGAAAATATTTACCCCTCTCCTCCCTTTATTTACCCAATTTTGAAAAATATTTGGAAAAGCATAATTGAATCATTTGCTCTGCACATAATAGAGACTGATACTGCTGGATTTTTTTGAGCATTTCATCTCTCTAGAATGTTTTCCATCAGGCTGGAACCAAGCAGAGAAAAACTCTTTGTTTCCAACACCACATCTCACAGCGATGCCACCACTGGGTTAGAAGGTCCCTGAGTCCTCAGTCACTGCAACCTGGCAAAGGATGGGGATAAAGTATCAGTGCACTTTTGTTCTTCCTTGGGTATCTGCCATGAAAGGAGTCCAAATGGACCACTGCTATCAACTGTTATGATTATTTTTGTGTTCTCTTCAGTCTAAATGCTCAGAAAACAAAGTATGTCTAGAGAAAGCAGTGCTCTTCTCTTCCAGCCTCTGTCTGGTGAGTGATGAGTCCTTTGGTAAGCACTGCCTGAGGAACCCACTTTTCACTCTGAAATCATTGGGGGACTCACATTTCACCCTCTCTGGGGAGGCACAGGTGGGTCTGAAAGCACTGAAGAAGTTAAATGAGGTTTTGTTATCTAAGCTGAATGCAAATAAAACAGTAGTACAGCTATTCATTATTTCTTCTCTTCTGCACACCCCGAGCCTTGATCACACATTCTGGCTGGGCTGAAGAGGCCAACAGCTCCTACCACAGCCCCTGCAAAGGCTCCCACTGTGACCAGGCTGCTCTTTAAGCCCTTCCCAACACATTCCATGAAAAAGAACCATCTCAGTTTAAGCAATTTTAACAGCCTGGACAGAAACAAGTTTGGGAATGCTCAACCAGGAAGCCTGGCCCATACATCTCCTGGAATCCTAAATTCTCACGGGGGCAGGGTGCAGAGCAGCATAAATGTCCCTTTCAATGTGTCTCCAAAGTCAAGGAGCTCTGCATCACTAGCTACTTATGAAAATATTGGTTGTTACAATGAGTCTCTCTTCCTTCTCCCCCAAATTTTCAAATCTCGCTTTTTTTGAGGAACAGCATATGAAAGGTTTCACAGTTTTTTGTTCTTTGTGACTGAAACTGAATAGTCACATGAAGTTTTTTATCATTCCTATCTGCAGGTTGTTAATGCTAATAAATAACAGAATCATCACTAGAGAATTTCCATCAGTCAGCCACAGAAAACAATTCTGAAAAATGCAATCAGTCCAGAAAGAAGGACAGGTTTCCAAAAGGACTGAGGAAGATGTGGAAGTGAGATCCATTTTTGTCAGGCACAGACACTGATTTTAAACCACAGACTGGCAGTCATGTACAGATGATGCTGGGGGTCTTTGGAAGTTCCTAGGAGGGCTTTGCTCCCAAAAGCAAACTCAGTGAAAATCAGGCATTTAACCCATTCAGAAGCTGAGCAAATTAATCTGCTGGACATTCTCTAGATCCTAGTGCATTTGTCACTCTTAAAAGGGAGGTTTAGTCTCCTGAATCACTCAGATGCTTAACAAAATTGTGCCCAAAGCTCTCTCGTTCACAGACTTTGCTAAGTGGACTGACACACAGGAGGGCAAGCAAAAAAATGGGAGAAATAGTTTTAGTGGTCTGTCAAAAACATGACTTGATGTGAACATATTGTGGTTTGAAGGCAGCTAGGTGGAGCTTTCCAGGTGTGGCTAAATGTGAGTTTTTGTTTACTCTAGATGCTGAGTGAAAGGAAGAAACCCTTTGGACTACTTATCACTTCTCCTCAGCTTCTCAGCCAAACATGCCAGGCAACCACCAAACACAGAGCTGCCTTTTTCCACTGGCTCCTGCTCAGCCCTGCAGCTTGGCACGCTGCTCATTCCAAGCCTCACTGCCAGAAGCAGCAGAAACTTTGCTCTTTTTGCCTTTCAATTTTCAGGGTTACACAAACACGCAATATCACATCTATTTCACTAGATGTGAGGAACTACAGGACCATGATGGAGTTAGTATTCCATAGATGTGAGGAACTGCAGGATTATAATGGAGTTATTATTCCACAGATGTCAGGAGCTACAGGACTATGATGGAGTTAGTACTCCATAGATGTGAGGAACTACAGGACTATCATGGAGTTAATACTTCATAGATGTGAGGAACTGCAGGATTATCATGGAGTTAATACTTCATAGATGTGAGGAACTACAGGACCATCATGGAGTTATTATTCCACAGATGTGAGGAACTACAGGACTATCATGGAGTTATTATTCCACAGATGTCAGGAACTACAGGACTATCATGGAGTTATTATTCCACAGATGTGAGGAACTACAGGACTATCATGGAGTTATTATTCCACAGATGTCAGGAACTACAGGACTATCATGGAGTTATTATTCCACAGATGTGAGGAACTACAGGACTATCATGGAGTTCATGTGCACGCAGTACAAAGAAGGGAAAAAACCACCTCAGCTCCTTCTACCCAAGCTGGACTTGACTAACATGGAAACAATATCATCTGCCAGACCTGTCTAACAGTGTGCTTTGCTGACCTTTTCCAGACCCACAGTGATGGCAGCATTCACATTCAGCGTGGCTCACAGCTACACATTCTGCAATGTGAATCACTGAGAGGCTGAGTGTGTGAAATCACTGGAAGAACTGAATGAGACCATGTTTTGGCACTGCAGCTTCTGAGGGATGGGAAGTGTTTGGAACAGTATTTGCAACAGTGGTCCCAGTCTGTAAAATATCAGGAAAAGGTGTTAGTGGCCAAAGAAACGGAGTTAGTGCTCAAGTACTGTGTCTGTGATGTTCGGAAGCTGAGAGAAATCTGAAATTGTGGGCTAAGCCAGCTTAACTAAAGAAATCTTTTTATGTTCTAAGTTTACAAAAAATGCAGCAGTGGCAAGTGCTGAGTAACTCAAACCAACTGATGAATTAGTGATTTAGTCAAGGATACAGATGGATACAGTGACATGGACATAACAAACACCCAAACCAGAGACAGAGAAGGGGAGAACAAGCAAGTCCAGGATAACTCAGGAGAAAACTGATGGCAGAAGAGTTCTACAAGTGCATGAAAAATAGGTCTATGAAATTCACACCCTAGCTAAGTTTATTCACAGAAATAAAGTTCCTTCATTATTTCTTAACTTGTATTTATCCTCATCATGTTGACAGGAAGATGAAATCCTATAGAAGGCTTAAGTAAAATAAAAAAAAAATCTGTGGAATGTAGAGAACAATACAAATCTTTCAAAGATTAAAAAAGTAGATGCTATATTTTTAAGTGTTAGGCTCTCACAAATATCCTCAGAGTTTGTGTTAGTCCATCAAACTGAAAGGCATATGCTATCTTTGATCTCTGTGCAGAACCTCCATTGAGATTAATGTGAGCTCTGTGTGAAGAAAGAGACTAGAATAGGCCCTCAGTTCACAAATAGCAAGCAGTCTGCTTCAGGAAAAAAACATGTTTTCTTACAACAGTGTTGAAATTTATTGGGAAGTTTCAAATAGCTTCTCTTCAGAGGCAAGTTTGTGGTCATGAGCGTGTTCACTTGTCAGAAAGACCTGTCAGGGAGAAGGTGCACAAATGCAGCTCTTGTGTCAGATGTTTGGCTGCTGTGTAGGAACGCATCCTTCACCTCTGACAGGCTTTTCTCATGCTGTAACAAGCAATCCCCTGTTCCTGACTCATCTCTGCAAGCTGATGGCTTTGTCCATGGACAGGGTACTGTTTTCATACAGACTGTGCCCTGCAACACCCACTCCAGCTAGAGAAACCCCCAGGACTTACTGCATCCCGCCTTGTAGCTGAAGCCAGGAGGAAGGAGGAATCCTTGCTGGGCAGCTGCTGCCAGCGTGCGCTGGTCTGGAGGGAACACGGGGATCATCAATGGAGGCAGCTGACCCTGGACCTGCTGAACAGAGAGGGACAATCAAACACACAATTTGGGGGGGACAATGTCTGCAATGTGCTTTCTTTCACTGCTGATCTGAATTCACCTCTTCATATTGGGGTGCTCCAGCAGCATCAGCTCTGGGGCTTCATCTTCATCACCAAACACCTCATATGAATGACACGAACCCAAAATAAACTGAAATGTTTCACAAAGGCATATCTATATCCCACTTAATTATTCCCCCCACAGTTCATGATGACTCACTTATCTCTGGCTGTAGGGGGGTACTTCCTTCTCTTTTACTGAACTGTGCAGCAGTAATGTCTCAGACAGTAGCTTCCACCCTGACCAAGCCCAAACACAAAGACACCTCCTCAGAAAGGAAAAATAAGTGCACAAGTAGCACACAGCACAGCCAATGTGATTTTTCTGCTCATACACGTGCACTTATTGGTACATTTGAAAAGATAAAGCCTCAGAAGAAAGGCTGAGACCCTTTGCTCACAAATCAAACAGCAATGTCTGAAGAGTTAGGTGTTCAACTTTGCACAGCAACTCTACACAACCATGCAAGGCAGGAAGTGGAAAATATTATATTGTAAGTGGATACTGCAGGGGACTAAAGCCATGCAGAAATTAGTCATCAAATCTGGAAGTGGGCCATGGCACAACGTCTACTGCTGCTGCTTTTACCCAGTTCCGTTAATAGCTTTTATAATTGATAGAAATGGAAGCTGTCTCTGTATTTCACACAGATGAGAAACACAAAGTTTGCTGGGTTAAAATGCTGAATGTCTAGTTTCAATGTAAAAACCCCACTGTACTGACCAGATCAGTCAGTCAAGAAGGAGTGATCTCTTTTTAAGACAGCTCATCTAGATTTTAATGGTGCTGTAAAGCTGAGGCACTGGAGATGGAGATGTCTTTGAAAACTACAATTTATTTTGTGGTTTAAGTAACTCAGAAAATCAGAGCATCAGCAGAGAACCTTCTATGCTGAGGGGCTCACAAAGGTGTCACTCCCTTCACTGCTGCCTGACAGCAGAACTGGGACAGAGAACCTGCCCCAGCCCTTGGCTGCCTCTGCTCAGAATACACCATTTGCACTTCATTCTAGTTTCATTTATTCTCCTTAAAATCCAGGCCACGTCTTGGTTCACCCAACACTGCTACCAGGCAAAACAGTGATAGAAAATTTGGGATTATCATCCCTTTTAATTTATGCCTGGAGCTGGCAACACCCCTGTGTGTGCTGACTGTGTCTGTATGGTCTGAAACAATTTTCAAGGACAGAGTTCAAGAGCACTGTTGACAGAAATTCTTGCAGTGAGAGATTAAGATTGAGGCTGAAAGATGGAGTAGATGTAGCTCCACTCACTGAACCAGCTTGATCCATTTTTTGTTACTTCAATATTTGTCTTTCTATTCTGATCCTGTTAATTAGAAGGCATACATATTTTCAGCTGAATTACAGGATAAAACCCATATAAAATGTGATTTGTTCTCTATCTGCACAGATATCCTAGAGCTGTCCAATACCTGCCTTTTCTTCACGTGTTCATTTTTTGTTTATTTTGTTTGAGGTTTTGTGGTTTGCTTTTTTTTTTGCCTTTTTTTTAAAGACAAAGACAAAGTAACTGTATTCTTTTAGAACAAAAATGAACAGCCATGCGGAATTTTTGCATAGTACTCTTCTTCGGCAAAAAGCCACAGAACTTTTTTTTTAAATGGTTTCCAAGGATGAAAGTGACTTTGCCAAGCGAAGAAGCTTCAAAACAGGACTCAAAAAACACTAATAGAAAGACAGATGGTTCTACTAAGTGCTTTGCTGCCAAAAAAAATGTTAAAAAAAAGTGAAAAAAATGGAGTGATGTTATTGAAGCTGACTGCAAAGTTCTCTGATGACTGCAAATACTCTTGTCCCACTGCAAGTGTTAACTCTGCCTCCAGGGCTAATATAACTGAAGCACCACACACACACAAATTGTCATTGCCAAGCCCACAATGTAGCCTAAGTCTGCACTTGATTCCAAGTGACTGCCAAACACACGAGCAAAACACCACACTGAAAAATTCCCATTTAGGAAAACATTTACCAGGAAAATGCCCTTTCTTCCTAAATCTGACTGCTGCATTTCTTTTTTTTTTTCAAATTGCTGCTCCTCTTTAACTCTCCAAGGGGCCTTATAGCCCCTCATTTCAAATGACACAACCTTGTTTGCATTAGGGAGGTAAAAACTATGGAGCGGTGAGGATGGTTTGCATGGATATAGAAATAACACAGTCAAAACAATGTGATTTTCATTCCAGGATGGAATGTATGGAGCAGCACTCAGCTACACTTCACTTTCTCCTAAACACAAATAAATGCAAACATTCGTTTATTTTAATCCGATTACATGACACAATATCATACAAATTATGGACTCTTCATTTTTATGGCTCATTTAACTACTGCATTTTAACTCGTTATGTTTATTATTATTATTAACTGGAATTGCCAGGATACAACTGCCTCAAGTGGCATTGAATACAGGCCCTCCTTCTGAGCTTTACATCTAAGGTGTTTCCCTATTTTTTTTTTCTTTTCAAGGTATTACTACATCAGTTGAATCTCTCAAATGTTTTTTATAATCAGTTCAATCTCTCAAATGTTTTTTATAATCAGTTCAATGTCTCAAAAGTTTTTTATTTTTATTGGAAGCTTACATACCTTCCAATATTTTCTGGATTGTAACTTCTTGATACTGCATTTCTAATTTGAATATAATGGACTGCAAATCAGGGCTATTTTCCAGGCCCTTCAATTTGTTCTGCTAAAGGACATATGTCCATAAAAAGAAATACCTCTTCAACAATCTGATAATTCACACAGCTGTCAAGATTCTCCACTGACCAGCCTCTCTATGTGTGACCTCTTAGCTGTAACATCCTAAAGGAGACAACTGTATTTTAAATCCTCAAAAAATTCCCAATGGATTTAAGGAGCTACAATTTCACCTTATAACTTCTTACCTACTTTAGGATATTATTCTGGAGGACACAGATACAATCCTCCAAGATTTTCCTGGTTTTCCATACTGTTGTCACTGGGTTATCTGAGCACACTGTGAACCCTTCATTAATTTTTTTCTCTCCTCTGCCCAGCTGTGTTTGGCCAGTGCCAAGCCACCACACCAGGAAACCTTCATAGCCACTGAAAATCCAAAAAAGAGCCCACCCCTGAAGAAGTTATCAATGCAAAAATCAGTATGAGCACATGACAAGCAGCCCATAGTAAATCTACTGTCCAAGGGGGAAATACCCACAGCTGCCTGCAGAGATTTCTGATTTTGGGAAGTGCCTCAATGTATCTTTATTTGTTTCAGTGCCTTTGAGAAGTCTGGCCCTAAATGGCTTACCATATCAAAGGGAATGTGTTGGCAAACCTGGAGCCAGTTCAGGCTGTTGAAGCCTGGGCCAGCACCTTCACAAATGTGTGCGTGTCCTGTATGACTTGACCATAACAAATCCAAGCACACAAAGACACTGCATTCAACACAGTCACACTTCATATTTCCAGGATTCTCAGCTTCGTTATAACTGTAGTATTTCCACCTAAATTCTGCTCTCCTGTCTCCTTTTAGGAACATACTATGGTTACCACAGCTACCTAAGCACCAAGCAGTATGTTTTTAACAGTTACCCCCACTGTTTGTTACTAGCTCCTGCTGTGACTTCCACAAATTTAGATTGCAAACACTTGACAACTACAGTTCTATTTTCTGTAAAAAGTCATGTGTGCTTTGGGTCACTATGTAAATAGCTACACAGGGAAAGTAGTTTAAAGGAACATTAGGATGGCAAAGTTAGACATTTGTGGCTTAGAGAATGCCAGGATCAGGGAAACATGCACGACCTTATTTTGGCTCTTCACTGCCCCTGCATCCCGACAGAATCCCCAAAGTTCAGAGTTTCCCCTCCACATGACTCTTGCTTATTCTAGAAGGCTTATCCCACTTCCCAAGTAACATAAACCCATACTTTCAGCAAACCTAAGCCCCTAAAATAGCAGCTGCTATTAGTTCTATCTATTTTCTCTTCATACACTTCCCCCAATTTCATTTCTGCAGCTGTTCATTACATATTTATTAGCATCAACTTTTATATAAAAGTTTTCCTATCTCCAAGGTAAGCATCTCAGTGCATTTCCCAGCATCTATATAGATATATATAACATTTTTCACTGAGGGGCAAATACTGCTACGCACCCACCTCCAGCTCTTCAGAAGCAATTCTATTCCTTTTGGTGAGGTTGGTGATGGATAATGAATTACTGAGTGTGGGGAAGGGCAGCTGCTAAAAGCAACACTCTGTTCTCCACAACCTGACCAAACTCTGCAAGTACTTTACTCCTGAACTGCTCAGACATGTGGCTGATTTTTATTTTCATTGGAGTTAGTCTCAGCTGCCCCAAATGAGTTCAGATTTTTTTATTCCTAGAACAGTGGAAGCACATGAATGATTTGATTAACTTCAAAGTGTTGTAGGAATATCTTCTTGCTTGTGACTTGTCTGGAAGTTAAGCATCTCTTCTACTGTTCAGGGAAGAATGCACATTTCACATGCAGCAACACAAATCTGTCCTTCAAAACTGACATGTTTAATTGCATTTGTCCCCCTTCCTCCAGAAACACTTGGCTCCCAGTGCCACACACTCTGCTGAAGGCCTGCATGCTTTAATTAGCACATGTGTTGGCCCTCCTTACCTCACCCCCCTCCCCGTGTCTATCTTAAGGGAAATAAAAATATATGTCCCCATATAACTACAATCTGCTATTTTCCCTTGCAGTGATGTTTAAAATAAGACAAGAAAATGTTTTTCTCTCCTGTGTATCAGTTCCCTAAGTTGCCACAAGCATGTCCTGAGCCCACAGAACAGGAAGCCCTGCCTATCCAGTTGTGGGATGATCCCTCGTGCTCCTCCTGAGTTTGAGGTGCCTTTTTATGGGTGCTCACTGAGTGTCCAGGATGCACAG